TAAACTGAGTTTGTACTATGCATATTGCTATGTGTTTTATTCTACATTGGCTAGAAGTATAGGGGGAGGGTTGAGATCTCACAAAACATGTTTAAATAAACTCATCATAAATATCAGGATTGAATTTTTGTATTTGCGCCAGACGCGTGTTTCGTCTACAAAAGACTCATCAGTGACGCTCGAATAAAATGAGTAAAAAAGGCCAAATAAAGTACGAAGTTGAAGAGCAATGAGGACCAAATATTCCTAAAAGTTTTGCCAAATACAGTAATCTATTCCTGAGGTAGAAAAGCCTTAGTATTTCAAAAATTTAAAGTTTTGTAAAGAAACCGCATTTTGCGCCTATCCCAAGTCAGGAGCCTCTAGCCTTTGTTAGTCTTGTATGTGTTGTAATTTTAGTTCATTTATATGTTTTGGAGTTTAGTGTGACGTCCATTTTCACTGAACTTGTATACAATTTTATTTAGGGGCCGGCTGAGGACCACCTCCGGGTGAGGGATTTTCTCGCTGCGTTGAAGGCCAATTGGTGGCCTTCGGCTGTTTTCTGCTCTTTGGTCCGGTTTTTGTCTTTTGACATATTCCCCATTTCCATTCTCAGTTTTATAGAATATCAATGAAGCCAGGTCATTTAATTTCACATTTAGATACATTGATGATGTTTTTTTTAAGAATTACAAATTAAAGAAACAGAAGGCACTTCTTCATCCACCTCTTTTTTATACTACCTTTACCTCGAATTTCACATAAGAGGTCGATTCAGTACCAGAATCTATGACAAACAAGACGATTTTTATTCTGAAAAAAAAAAAATCCCCCTCCCCCCCAAAAAAAGAAACTACACCTCCACCTTAATATAGACTTGATATTTCCTAACTCATTCGGTAATCGAAACCTTGCAGCTGCTATTCAGACTTCAGAAAACGTCACCAGTGTATAAGCAGATAGTTGATAAATCAGGGTTAAGGGATCTCGTACTTTTTTCTCAGATATTGATATTGATATTGATGTGTTTTAACGCCACTTTTAAGCACCGCTTTTAGGTTATATCGTGGCGGCCAGTTTTTATTGGAGGAGGAAGCCGGAGTGCCCGGAGAAAACCACCGACCTTCGATAGGAAAACTGGCAATTCTAGTCAATTAAGATTGGAGTCGAGTGCACCCGCACGAGCGGGGTTCGAACTCACAACCTCAGTGTTGACTGGCTAGTGATTACAGTAATAACTCATTAGACCACTTGGCCACATAGGTTCCCTTTTTTCTCAGAAAATACCAATACCTTGTTGATAAATATTCCGTATTAGCTTCATAAATAATGATGGTCTTGAAGTATAGATTCTAGGTACTGACGTTATTTATTATCCTTATTACGTGTTGTAGTGGTTTTTTTATATGTCTTTGTATATTTACCTGTTAGTTGACTTTTTTGTAATAGCATTCTGTCGTGGCTCGGAATTCATACATTCCGCCATTGTGTTGTTGTGCTATGGTCATGTTTTGTATTATTTTCCTGAATTTTTAGTTTTTTGTTGTAAACATTAATATTGTTGTGTGTTTTTATAGTGATTAGGATGATATTGTTTTGTGCTTGTAATAATCTATCAAGTAGAGACTTTGACTCAAAAGATATTTAAGTGTTAAGGTAGTTCATTCCATATCTGTGCAGTTTTAAGACGAAACAGTTTGAAAAATATCTCTTTACTGTTCATGATGATTAGTGCAAATAATTGATTAATTATAATGGGATATTTCTATTTGTATCATCAATGGTTTTTTACTTAGTACGTTTTTTTTTATTTATTTAGAGAAATTGATATTGTTGATCGAGGTCTGCTGTACTGTCGCACATTTTTGTAACCCGGATTTGTTTTCTCTCAATCGATTTATGACTTTCGAACAGTTTTATACTACTGTTGCCTTTATTTGATTATTCCCATTAGGCAAAAGAAAATCACTTACTTACTACTTACTGTTTTTGACAGGTTGTTGTCTCATATGACTATACAGGAGATCTTCCTGTATTCTGTTTGAATTTTTTTATTTTTTATTTATTATGTCGATGGGTTGCTGTCTCATATACGTATACAACACATTTAATTCATTTATTATAAACTGTCTTTCGGTAAAAGTTTTCGATGGGTTGGTGTCTCATATAGCTATACCAGATATCTTCTTTAATCTAATTTGAATTGTTTTTCATTTGGTTTGTCGTAGGTTGCTGTCTCATATTCATATACACAACATCTTCTTTTATTCATATTACAATGTCTTTCGGTTACTCTTGTCCATGGATTGTTTTCTCATATAAGTAAACTCGACATATTCTTGTGTATGTATTGAACTGTATTTTTTATTCATTTTGCTTACGGGTTGTTGGTTAATAAATATATAACCAACATATCTTTGTTTTAAATAGACTTCTTGTAAATGTTGTAGATGGGCAATTTTCTCATATTCGTTCATCCGACATCTTTTTATTCATTTTGAACTGTTTTATTTTTTCGACTATGTCAATGATTTTCTGTCTCATATACGTATACTGGACATCCTTGTTAGTTTTATTTGAATTGTATGTTTTATTGCAGTTTTTGTATTCGTTGAGTGTTGTCTCATATAACGATTCCAGTCTTCTTCTTTAATTCAGTTTTTTCTTTTATTTTTGTCGATGGGTTGCTGTCCCATATACATATAACCGAAATCTTCATTAATTCTCATTGTACTGTCTTTCGGTTACATTTGTCGATGGGTTGTTGTCTTATATTTGCATAGCCAACATTATATTTATTCATTTTGAACTGTTGTATTTTTTTTCGATGGGTTTATGTCTCATATAACTATTACAGACATTTTTTTTATATATTGAACCGTTTTTTTTAAATTCATTTTGTAGATGGGTTGCAGTCTTATATACATATATCCGACATATTCTTTTAATAATATCGAACTGTCTTAAGATTAATGCCATCGACATCTTCATTCATTCAGCTTGAACTATTTTTTTTTGTTCATTCATTTCTGTTTCATTTATATAAACCCGACCTCTTCTTTCGTTTATTTGAACTGTCTTTCGGGTACTGTTTCCGATGGGTTATTACTGTACCAGACATCTTCTTTCATTCGGTTTGAACTATTTTTTTTCTTATTTTGTCTATGGATTTGCTGTATCATATCCATTAACTCGAAATCTTCGTGTTTATATCGTACTGTGTTTCGGTTACGGTTGTCGACGGGGTTGTTATCTCATATAACTATATCAGACATCTTCTCTTTCCCAGTTGGAATATTTTTTATTCATTTGTCGATTGATTGCAGTCTCATATACATGTACCCCACATATACATGTACCCCACATTTTCTTTTATTCATAGTGTACTGTCTTTGGGTTACAGTTGTCGATTGGTTGTTGTATCATGTTTGTATACCAGACAGCTTATTCTTATTTATTTAGTATTGTTTGTTGATGGATCTTTGTTTATTTATACTGTGATGGGTTAATGCCACAACCTCTTAACTGAAAATTTGTTACTTTTCAGAAACTAGCATACAAAGTTTGAATGTCAGTATAAATTTCATTTTACTTCAAAAATGTATCAAATTAACTCCTAATGATTATAATCTAATATTTTGATGCTAATTGGAAGACAGATAACCAATAAAATGCACTTGAAATGTTTAACGGATATTGGTATTCCATAATGATTAAATTTAATGCAGATGTGTTTGCCATAAGGTCATAGCTAGTGATAAGAGGTATACCATATTCTAAATTTTGTTAAGTAAGCATCATTGCATTTGCAAGCGATAACATGGATAAGGAAGTAAAATTGAGAATGGAAATGTGGAATATGTCAAAGAGACAACAACCCGACCAAAGAGCAGAGAACAGCCGAAGGCCACCAATGGGTCTTCAATGCAGCGAGAAAATCCCGCACCCGGAGGTGGTCCTCAGCTGGCCCCTAACTAAAATTGTGTGCTAGTTCAGTGAAAATTGACGTCACACTTAACTCCAAAACATATAAATGAACTAAAATTAAAAAACATACTAGACTAACAAAGGCCAGAGGCTCCTGACTTGGAACAAGCGCAAAAATGCGGCGGGGTTAAACATGTTTTGTAAGATTCACCCTCCCCCTATACCTCTAGCCAATGTAGAATAAAGAAACACATAGCAATACGCACAGTAAAACTCAGTTTAAGAGAAGTCCGAGTCCGATGTCAGAATAGGTAACAAAAGAAACTAAGCAAAATGACAATGATATCTAGCCAATGTAAAATAAAGAAACACATAGCAATACGCACAGTAAAACTCAGTTCTATCCAATGTAGAGAAAAGAAACACACAGCAATACGCACAGTAAAACACAGTTTTACTTTCCAATAGCTTTCCTGAACAAAGAAGTCAATATTTAGCCATATGTTTCAGAGGGGCAAGAAAGCTGAAATAGGTGAGACATATTCATACAGGATAACATTGAGCTGTGGCAAAACTGAAGACAATATTTTTGTACACCACTAATCAATGGCCCCATTGCTTTCTATGTTAAATTCCTCAATTTCAAGCAGGCACAGCTCTTTTGTTTTAAGTTCAAAAAAGTGACAATCATTGCATGTCAAAGCAACACGTTATGGTGTCTTTTACTGAAAAAATCAACATACCTTTATTGGCATATAAGAAAGAACTGGTTCCTGGAACTTCGGAAGTACCAAAACAGGTACTTCAGATATGACAAACAGGCAAAATGTACCCTCTTTTTTTAAATTTCATGCATTTTGTTTTATTATTCAAAATCATAAGTAAAAAAGTGTTCTACAATGATCACCAGTCATTCAGCTTTCATTTGAAACCAAAATTACCTAAATATTCTAAATATTTTGAAAGTTACACCCATGCGTAGGAACTATTTTGTGTTAAATATGTACTACTTTCTGGTATGTGCTTTCTGACCGAGCCCGAATTAGTGGTGTTACACCATAAGAGATTGTGGAATTTTAAATATGACTAAATATAAATGAATGAGTTTTATTTACTTTGAATGATATATTAATTTGACAATTATATTCATACACATAATGTTATAAAACATTGTTAAGAAAATAAAAAGATAATGTAAAGCAATACAGTACATACAGGAATTATGGAAAGTGGATTTAGCTATACAGAAGTACATACACATATTTGAAAACTTTTATAATTTATTTTTTGTCAAATATTATATTATTCAATTCGCAATATCCTAAACCAATAAGAGATGGTTACAACATTTCTGAAACGAAAGATATGTCATTGTATTTAAAATTCTTGTTTGGCCTTAATAACGAATAATATAATTGAATCAGACTATCTACACAAAGACCTTGGATTGATGAATTCATTGTGGTAATTAATATTCATTGAATCTTAAAGACATAGAAAAGCAATAAAATGTATCAAAGTTCCTAAAGAAAATCGTGTGTTTCAGCTGTGTTTCACAAAAGAATATACAGTAACCCCAAATAAGATTGAAATCATAATCTAACATGTTTATTGGTTTTTCGAAATCAATAATATCATTTTGCTCGCATGAAAGAAAATAATATTGATTTAGATTTTCCTTTCAGTATATTTCTTTTCCCCAAAAGTTAACCAAGTTCTCTGGATTCTTATCTGTTTATATTATATGATTATCCATGAGAATAGACTTTAAAACTTACATACTGCACTATTTATCACACTATAATATACCATGGCAGAATTTTTGTTTTTGTCTTAAGATTTATCTAATGCGAATGAAATAAACATTAAAGATATTTTGTGTGTTCGAAGCGCTAAACTTTTTTGAAAGCTTTTAAATAAATAGAATGTTAGGAACTATATGATTATGACAAAAAAAAAAGGACCTAGACGGAAAGGACCAAATATTTCTAAGTCGTGCATATATTTAAAGTGGTGTTTTTGTAAACGTATTACATTTTATATAAATGTCTTTAAGTTTTCGTTTGCTGTTAATCTATAATGAGGTGATATTTCTTTTTTTTTTCAAAAGTTTTGAAATCTTTAATTATATTATCTTTTATACAATGGAAACACATTTGGTTTTGAAAAAAAACAATATTAATTTGTTTGAAGTTTTGTATGTTTAAAATATTATCTGAATACATTATTTGTAAATTATAGAACTCGTTATTGAATCATGATTATTAATCTCTTAACTAAAAAAAACACATCTATAAACAGTAAAAATCAAAAACAACGAAATCATGATATTACTGCAAATTAGTTGATTGAAATTATAGTAAATTTGTAATGTTTCTAAACTAGAAAAAAAAGGTTAAATTTTTAAAAATAAATATTATGTTTCTTGAATGTTTTGTAACATAAAAAACTCATATTACAGACATATATAATAATAACATTGTTATTATATCATGTATATAATTCAAAGTAAATTCTATTAATTATATTATTCATTATATAAACCAAATTTTACAAACACCTTTCTGAATTAGCTGAATATAAAAAAAATCTATATCAAAAACCATTAAAAGCATAACAATTACTTGTTTCATTCTCAGTTGATAGATATAAGAAGATGTGGTATGAGTGCCAATGAGACAACTCTCCATCCAAGTCAAAATTTATAAAATTAAACCATCATAATGTTTATATTATATACTATGAGGTCATGCCAGATACACTTAATTGCCTTTACGTGCTTGATGACCTGCTGATATTCACTTCTCTTTTACAGCTGTAACCCATTATCTGATGTTGAAGGGGGTGTGGTATAAGGTGTCAAGATAAATCAATAAAAATGTCAAATGCAATAAGCAAGTATTTCGAGGTACTGTGTTATTGCATACGAGTTTGCAAACGATATTTGTTATTAGGAATGCAACACACCTTATCTAAAGTTACTGTGTTGTTGTTCTCTGGGTAAGCTAAAGTGCTTCGGAGGCATGAAATTATTTAACGTGTTGTTTTCAATTTTTTACTATTTAATAAAGAGTATTTAACCTGCATTTAAAAAGTAATAAGACTTAAGTCTTTCATGCTGGCAGACATTTATCAAACTGATAATATATTGATGAACATATCAATTAAAACTTTACTGTATATTCAATTGCTCTAAAAAAAAATGAGAATATTCGTTAATAACCATTACGTTTATAAAATCTATAAATCTCAAAACTGCAAATTTTTCGGTTAAGTGGTTGTTGCATTAAACCTTCGACTGATATGTCTTTCGGTAACTTTTTGCGACGGGTTGCTGTCATATTTACGTAAACCCGACATCTTCTGTTGTTCATACTAAACGTTCTTTCGATAATTGTTTATGACGGGTGGCTGTCATATTTACGTAAACCCGACATATTCTGTTGTTCTTATTGAGTTTCTTTCGGTTACTGTTGTCGATATGTTGGTGTCATATATGCGTAGATCCGACATGTACTGTCGTTCTAATTGAATATTTCTTCGGATACTTTTGTTGATGGGTTGTCTATTTGGCGTGTTTCACACATATTATTATAGCAATCTAATTTACAATTTACAATTACAAATTTTTTCATACTAAATACAAGTAAAATATTTTGTTGTTATTCTCATAGTTTTATTTCTAATATCAATAGCAAAAGTGCATTATTCTTTTTATTCCGTTCCTGACAACCATTCATCCGATTCGGGTATGCCATCTGTTAATGTATCGAACAGCTATATTTGTAGAAGTTTGGTAAATAATGATTTCGGGCGTCTAAATACTTTGTTACTGTTCTTTTTCTTTCTTTCCTATCACTAAGGAGAATTGACGTGATGAATATGCTTTAGATTCAAGTTGATCGTATTTTTTTTCTACAAAGAAACACGTGTTAACGAAATTCTTTTAGATTTAAGGAAAAGAGTAAATACTGCTGGCATGTGCTCGGGAAAGGTATGGAACAGTTAGTATATTGATACTTATTACGATGTAATACCATTAATAAATCAGTGTCAAAATCTACAACGGTTTAACTTTTCTTGAATTCAACAGTGACGTAGCCTTTGAGACAATATACAATCAGGTAAAATCTGTTGTTTATACTTGAAATTGGTAACAAGGTCATAACAAAAAGGTCAATGCTTTTTAAAAAAACTTGAATGATGGGTACTTTTACGATTGTTATGATTATAATGTACATCTGAAATTTAACCATATCTCTTTTCACATGTCGGATACTGGTGTCGTTGTATTTTTCTAATATACGTCTGCATTCTCGACATCTTCTATCACTCATATTGAACTGTCTTTTAATTACATTTGTTGATGGGTTGATGTTTTATATACGGCGTATATACGGCATCTTCTTTCAATCATATTGATGGGTCTGACATTTTTTTTTGTTGATACGTTGTTGTCTTATAAACGTATAATCGACATCAACTTTTATTCATATTAAAATGTATTTATTTTTTTCGATAGGTTGCTGTCTAATAAACATAATAAACGTATATCTCACATCTTCTGTTATGCTTATGGAGCTATGTTTTGGTTTATTTTTGTCGATATGTTGCTGCCTTATGTTGAACTGTTCTTCGATTACTTTATCAAGAGTTGTTTGCTAAATCACGTATGTCCAATAACCCTATATATTATAGCGCTTGTTTTATAGTTTTATTCCTTTCTTCCAGTTGCCGACATCTAGTTATCTGATATGACATGATTTCTCTGCGTATGCCATCTGTCAATATGTCCAACAAATGTAAACACTCTTACATATAAATATTGTAAATGTCCTATTTCTATATTAAACACTTAAGTTTTTCTTTGCATTGATAAACGTTCGGTTATTATATGATATAATGGTAAGTTTCATTTTATAACTTTTAACCTTCAGTCTACATTATTATGAAGTGATGTTTTATTTCTTTCAATATTATCACAAAACAAAGGCATCCAAGTTATCTTTTTTTTTTATCTTTTTTTTTTGTTTGTGTCATAACTTAAACAAATTTAAATGGTACTTAATAACATATAGAATAATTTTGAACAAATACATGATATATCAAACATCACTATTTATCTTTTAAGAATGTTCTCTCCTCTGTTTCAAATAACAAGTTTTTTTAAAAGACCTTTTAAGTTGATAAATCATTAAAAAGGGAACTTTAAAGGAAGAAACAAAAGATAGCTTAGTGTTCGTGTTTTTGAGATATAGTAAATTGAAAATTTGGCGGGATATAATTCTCTCTAAAGTTTTCTTACATTTAACATTGGCACCTTGTTCCTTTTAACAACTATGGAAAAATAACAAGCATTTTATGCGATTTTCAAAAATGGCTCTTTAAGCTATTTGCAATGAAATTATGAAAAGAAAAGTAGCGGTTAGCAGGCAAAATTTGTATTAGCGCTACATGGAAAAAACTAGAGGAGTCCAAAGGTCTGACAATAAGTCAAAAATAAGAGTAGCGAGCATCCTTAACTTCATACAACCAAGCGTCTTCGCTTTGATTTGCAACTAACAATGTATTAGTGGATTGGTCATAATGCAGAACCTGTGGAAATAGCAGTCCATCTTCACTAGATAAAAGAAGTCTAAAGCGTTGTCCATCAGGAGATATGACGACAACGGTGTTAGACAGGTATCCCACTACAAACGCGTTTTCATCATTGTCTACAGAAATACCAAATGGACGACGCAGAACATTTTCATTACAGAACGTCCACAGTATTTCACCATGGTAATCACAACAGGTTACACTGTTGTTGTCAGGGTCTGTGTAGAACAGTTTGTCACCGGATGTTGTAACGTACGCATAGTCTGATAATTTGTTATTGGTAACATTGGAAGTAGATTCATCATTCAAACTAATCATTTTAAGTCCATTTTCCTTGGCACAATAAATTAAATGTCCATCTTTGTACACTACTCCATCACTGTTGGAATTAACTTGAATTGTTTTCACCACTTTTCTCTTCTTTATGTTAATTATATTGATATTTTTTGATACGCGAGTTGTAACAGCAATGGAATCATCACCAATATATTCCACATCAAAGGTGTCACCAATTTTGTCCATTTCAAAATCTTTTGATCCGTTCGATTTTAGTACACTTATCATATATGGGTAATGATTTGAGAATACGAGCCTACCATCAGGTAGCATAGAACAACCATAGACGTTTGTCAACTCTGTGTTGATGCATTTCTGTAACGTCAGAGTCAGGTTATCGATATTTCTGTTTGGAACAGTCATCATTATCTGGGCTTGTTTGTTCTTTTGTTCCTGAATGGACAAATTGCATTGATCAGAACTGACATTAATACTTCCAAACATATTTCATGTATTTGTAATACAGAATTAAATCTAAAAATATTCCAACATGGTTTCAAGTATTATTTTTTTCGTAAGAGAATTCATGTGTGTCATATTCGTTTTTCTATTTTGTTAATAATTAGACAATTAGTTTTCTCAAATTGAATTAATTCATATTTTTAGGGCCTTTTATAGCCGACTATAAAGTGGGTTTTCTCATTGTTGAAGTCCTTACTGTTGCCTGTACCTGTTTATATCTACCTCATTAGATCTTTGCAGGTTAGTTCACCCATTAGCAATCATACCAAATCTTCTTATTTTTATAAAGGCTTACAGAACTTAAATGTATTGGGCGATAATGTAAAAAAGTGAAAGGATACATTATCTGAATATGTTCAGAATTATTGGACAGAATTAAAGAAAATACTTTTTAATAAGTCAGATAAAGTCAAGCTCATTTTTGTACATAAAAATATTTAGAATTTAATGAAATTACAGAATGACAAACATTATGCCAAATTAGAATACCTGAACACCCTTAGAAAAATAAATCGATGAAGTTGACGGGAACAAATTTAAGACTAAGAAGACTATCAGGTAAAAAAACCCATTGGAAAATATTGGAAAATGTTCAACATGCTTAAACATCTCTACAGATGCAATTGCTAAAACGAAAGTTGATAAAAAGGAAAGATAGCGTAAAACAACTGAAGAAAACATATTAAAGTTATATGTTTTTATGTGCTTATGAGTGAGACGGGTGTGAATTTATACTGTATTATACGGAAAATAAATGCCGTAGGATTAGGACATTTCTTTGGGAAGAGAATGTTAATGGTCACATGGTTCAAATATTTTTGAATAGGGAACAAACTTATTTGCATCATTGAAAAGATATAATAGTTCGTCTAAATAGACGTGTTACAAAATGGTATACACTTGACAATGAGGTTCAAAACTAGACCTTTAATGGGGGTATCTTTTAAGATACAAAAGTGATTCAAAGATGTAAGTTACCTGTGTATCAGTTAAATTTTTGTATTTAAGATGCATATAGTACTACTTAATAATTTATAGTAGGGGTTTCAGTATCAAAAAGGCCTCTAGTAAACGAGTTAAAGTTAACGGAATAACACACTGCTAAATTTATTCGCAAATTATATAAAATCATTATATTTTACAATAAAGTTTGTGGTTGTTACAGCTCGTGGTCACGATTTTCTTAATTTCGTGTTTTACGGGGTATCTCAAGATACCGTTTTGTACGGTGAATCTTAAGCATGAAAACTAAGATTATTTCGGTCTTTTTTGGTGGTTGAAGTAGTAATAAGTATATAGTGTATATCATATTAGATATAACAAAATCGAAAAATATTAATGAGTTTAGTATAAGTATTTCAACATTCAACTTCGAAAGCAAAATTGTTATGTATATCGTCACACGATTTTTTAAAAATCCTAATTAAATCAATATCACACAGTTCTCGTTTGGCCAAATTTTTCTTCTCTATTCTGGATAGATTGTTAAATGATAGGGTTGTTGCCTCACTTACAATCAGTAGTCCAACTTAGTACATTAAGTTGTTGGGTGGAACGTTATGTTCCCCCAATTTACGAAAAAAAAGATAATCATAACCTCCCATCACCATTTCTCCTAATATCGTAATTTGGCGTTTAATTGAAGACTGTGAGGTCAAAACTCTTCTTAAGAAAGGACCTATCGTCCTACATCTATTTAGATTGGAAACAGTTTCGTCAATTGTCATTTTTTCTACATTAAGGTCCGTACGCTCCACAGAGAGTCAAATTGTGAACAAGTATATCACTGCTACTACTCAGCCTAAAGCCTCTTCCGAACAAGTCCCGACCATGTACTGGTTACCTATATTACACAAACAATCATTTGTCCTTTACTATATTTAGACATTTCAATTTCTATAGGGATATATAAGTTTTAACTCATAACTTTAAATTGCTAGTAATTTGTGTTAGAATGTGTTGAAAATATTACATTATTTTGAATGGTGATTTTGTATGAAATAACATTTGTAACTTATACAAAATAGTTGTATGTACATAATAGCGCTTTTTAACAATTTTGAACATTGTTGAAACGTAGGACGACCCTATTCATTTTAAATAATGAATTTAGTTCTACTTGGTTAAGTTATGGTATCTGGATAATCTGTTATATGACAACTTGTTTGAAATTCAGAGAAAACAATATAGATAAATATCGTTCAAACCCAATGGGCATATGAAATAAAATGTCATTACCTTAGCTGTATTTAGCAAAACGTTTAAGAATTTTTGGTCCTTAATGCTCTTCAACTTCGTACTTTATTTGGCCTTTATAATTTTTTTTTATTCGAGCGTCACTGATGAGGTTTTTTTGTAGACGAAACGCGCGTCTGATGTAAATACAAAATTTCAATCCTGGTATTCATGATGGAGTTTATATACATTAACATAGGCGATCAAGCTTCTTATATGTCAAATATATCATTATGAAAAAGAAGTAGTACTAACAATTTACAGTTATTGAAATTTGTATACAGCTTTTTTTAAATGGTGTACTTCATGTTTAATAATTTTAAAAGGGCATTAGCTGTCTTAATCATGGCCACCGATTTGACTAAAACTCTCATATTTGATTAATAACATACTAAAACGTATATCTTAATTGCAAAAAGTTTGAAATAATCAATTACCAATGCATTGTCTCGGTAATATGCATGAGCATTTCGTGTGAAATTTTGAGAAGATGCCATCGAGATGACTTGTGATGAATGACGACGGTCATAACTCGATACAACCATATATTTATAAATAAATGAGATCGACCACTTGTGATTGGAATTCTCTATGTCTGTTAGATTCCATATTATAGATTACTAAGCATGTTTATCATCCTTTTTTCCTTTATAAGAAGGCTTTTTTTTTGGATCAATCCTTCAACCAAATGATTTATCCTTGTTTCGCTTTCTATGGTGACATTCTTTTCCTTTTAATAGCTGAAAACATGCTTACCCAATCGCCAGTTTAGTGGTTTAAATTGAAGGTCACATGAGTACGGATTCAATGAGGTATAATAATTCACTTACACGTGAATAATTCAGAAGCAATTTGTTTAAGCTTATTTTGACATAATAGCAGCGTTGGCTTCTAAAACCGAATTTTATGAATGAAAAAATAAAATCCCAATCAGATTTTAACTTTTTTTATACATCTCGTAAATGTTGCTCCTTTAAAAACATTACCAGTATATTTATCAAACACGATAACGTTGAGGTTTTTAAATGATATTTGATGTATTATACCATGGAGATATTCCATAAGAGATGTGTCAATGAGACAGCAGCAACAAAAAATGTATGTTTTGTTTGTTTGAGTGAAACAGGTGTGCATTGTGACTGAATAAAACCAAAAACCAATTAAACAAAATACGTACCTTATTACCATGTGATTACGCCTTATATTATAGGGAAATAATGTAAATGGTCACATAATTGAAATATTTTAAGTAAGGGGACATAATTCTGTGCATCATTGAATAGACATAAAAGTTAGTAGGAAAATCAAATACACACCTGACTAATTTGGTTTCTTTTCCTTTGTTTTGTTTTTAAAGTTTTTGTTGTTGATATAATGAATATGTTCGGACTGATGAAATTAATTACGTGTTGTTTTCATTTTGTTAACTGCTTTCAAAAACTAATTCAGTACATATTTATCAAGATGTGTTTCCATTTAAAATCGTATTCTACTTATACATTGTTATACATTTCGTAATGTTTTTAGGTTAAACAAGATACGCTTTTGTTTGATTAATGGGTTATCACCAAACCTGTTTCTTGTCAAAGAGTTTCAATATAATATAGGTAGACCAATACAGCGAATGGTACTACTGTAACTGCACTGAAAAGATCACGAAGGTCTTAAAGGGGATTACAGAATGGAGCATTGAGGGTAGAAATTATTGTCAAAATAAATAGAGAATAGAGACTATTTGTCAAATTAATAACGAATAGAAAATAATTGTTAATATATAAAGTAGATGGAGAAAAATGGTCTTAAACATTACGGGAACAATTTAAAGACCCAATCCTTTTTGTCTGTTTATTTGTTCTTCTTTATTCGCTTGGACCATGGAAGTAATATTGAAAGGAATAACAACGTCGTCACTTCAAAGGTTTCATCTGCGTTACCGCCCATCTTTCGATAACTCGTTAATTGGTTTAATATATGGCATGGTAATTGACTCTCGGCATGTGATAGATCAAATCACTGACACTTTTCGGTCATTTTCGTGTTCCCGGAAAATTACGAATAGACCAGTTGTTGTCGTATGTACGTACGAAGTAACCCGAATAGTTCACTCGTTACATTCCGCTGCTGTACGCTACCGAATAGAGTCAGTCATTCAATGTTGATTTTAGTCTATTTTTCCTATTTATGTCTTTTTCGATCTTAATAGTTTAGGCCGACAGTTATCACATATTGAATTTAAGAAAAAGGGTGGATCATTTTCAATTTTAATACTTAAAACCAGTTAATTAAGAAGCCATTTCTGAAAGTTAAGAAGATGATTGTACAAAAAAATATGTGTCGACCCCCTTTTATTAAATACGAATAATCCAAGTCTTCCGTGTATCCCAGGCAAATCAAATATTCACAATTTTAAACGTTTCTATTCTTTAATTTGTACATAAACAAATTCATATAAAATAAATTTGCGGTTAGACAGATAGCGTCAAGCTCGTTTTGTATGGTTGATTTTCTTTTTGCTGTAACGTGCTACATTAATATTAGTATTCAATTGTAAACACTTTTTTAAAATAGATATAAATTTAACATGTTTACGAACTTATGATCCCGATTTTAATTTTCCAGTTTCAATAACGTAATCAATTACTTGAAAGTAAATATTTTTTATAAATCTCGATAAACTTGGCACATTTCAACAGTAAAATATTCTTTGTCTACATCTGTCTACATTATTTTGTTCAACATCATGTGAAACCTGATCGATTCATCGGTATTTAACTGTTTTACTCGGGATCCGCTTTTAACCGGAAAATACTTTTAGAACAGTTTAAAACAAACGGTAAAAAGCAAAAATATGCTAAATTAAATACAATTTTCCATGCTAAACTGTTGTAGGTTGAACAATTCTCGTCCGTTTTTCAAGTTTTTTACATCATACGACTTCTTTCTGAAGGTAGAGGTTTTATATGATACAGCGCCACCTTCTTATTAATAAACCTCGGATTTCACACAGGTACTTTATAATTACTGGACTCGATAAAATCACGTGACTGATAAGAAATTCCAGATGCCATTTTACAACCGCGGTATCACAAATAGTAACCAAAGGGGTATTGCCGCTGAGACTATAATTGGATAAAATCATATGACTTTAGTACAAAGCTCTGCAGGCTGTTAATACATGCTAATTAGTCGTTGTTATTCCTTTTAAATATTACTTCCATGCTTGGACAAAATATTTTCTATCTTCTTTCGACTTTACCATGATTACAATTATTAATTTCTCTAAGGTTCCTTTCTTTCAACTTTTCACAATAAGTATAAATACATTTTTGCTGGTGCATTGACATCAATGAAGAAATCATTCCTAATTGTCATGGAATCAGTTTTATAAATATTTGATGACGTGAAAATTTATTCATGCATATCAGCTCTGTCTGAAATATTTCATAAAAAATTAGATAGATAATAAGAGCAGTTTTTATTTCAAAAACCTCAGTTTACTTGTATATATAAAGAGAAAACTGGTTATCATACTGCATTATATATGAGGGTCTTGATTGAGGTCCTTTAGTTCTGTATTCTTTGATTTCGTAAGTCATTTTTCTCTTTTTTCTTAAATCTTATTTATTATTCTTCATTCTTTATATTTTAGTACCACAATATTCTCTACTTTTTTATTTGTTTTTAGCCTATTCTTTCTCATTTCTTTTCTTTTCCAATTTTTCTGTTCAATTTTTCTGTAGTGTTAACGTTGATGGTAGGGAATTTGGATTACAAAATACTATTATCAGTTATGTTTCCGAGGTTGGACCTTCTTATTCGTGGATTTTCACACAAAACTGAGTTCCTCCCATACAGTGATATTTGAATTTATCTATTTGTTTTTAATTTAAGTTAATACATCATTTAGACATAAAAAAAACGGTAGTCCTACGCCAATATTTGCATTTTGCCATGAACAAAACAATTCACTTTTTTTTCGTTTTGATCTCGTAAATTTAACGTGCACCAAGTCATTAAAAGACTGCATGTTTGTGTTGATAAAGATGTCACTGATCTGGGCATCAAAATATAGGTCTTGCGATGTACCACATCAAACAAATGGCAGTGTAACTCGAAAGTGTAACTCGAAAAGGCAGATTGTTTAATGATAGATTGATTAATGATTGCTTACTTTTAACGGTTAATATTTCAATCCGGAAAAAATAAATGACAGTAATAAAACAACGCAACTTTTGAGGTACAGAGCTAGATTTATAGTTTGACATCTTTAAACATAATGCGTATCTTGTTGTTAAATTATCATGAACATGATTTTTACTTTACCTTTTTTTCTGTATTTAGATAATTTTTGTTTTGTTTTATATAGTACATCGTAGAATTTCGTAGTATTATAAGTATAGTATTACCTTGTTCGTTTATTTTTCACAGTTATTTTTTATACTTTGCACCACATAATCATCAATTCTTTTTTTTTCTCATTTTGTTAATTTTGCTCATGGTGGCCATTATTCTCTTTTCATTCTTTTTTGGGTGGTCCTTATTCTATTTCACTTATTTTTTAAAGTTTGATGACTATATTCAACTCATCTCTCCATTCGAAATTGAAATAAAGGTTACAACAGATACAGCTGTCTGTCTCATACTGGACTTTTAGCTAGAAATTGACAGTGAGGGTCGGTTGAGAACAAAATGTTACAAGGAAGCAAGCTATATAAACCAAAGGTTCCAAGTGGTGAAGTCATCCCTACAACGAACAATGTTACGGACGTTAAAACGAGTTTGGTGACCGTTATTGATATGAATATCTGTTTCACAAATGACGACGGATATGTTCCACTAGGCTATTTCGGGAATTATGTCTTTCATTGGAAAAGATTGTCATACTACCGACTTTTGTCTCCGGAATTTACATTTTTTCGACAGGTTACCTACTCTGTTGTAGGATATCCTGGTACTCGGTCAAGTAAGAGCAACGTAAAAAAGTGATATCAATTTTTTTTTAAACCAACCAATTAAGAATATAATCCCGTTTGCTATTGTTTCGTAAACCATGTCATTGTTAGTTTGTCTTCGACTTATGATTTTGTTGACATTGATATCTTCCGCCTATCTCTCTTATTTTTGATATTGTTAAGTTTTTTGTTTCCGTTCACATCCAATTTGAAAGTTCCCGGGGGCCATTTTAGACATATTGGTATTATAATTCAAACTTGACATGCCTGTTTCAGAAAAAAAGTGTCCATTTTTCTATTCGAAGGTAAAATATCTACCTTGTTTTCTGTGCGGATACCATTTTAACTTTACGATGTTGTTATGCTCGCCGCCAATGGTTTCTGTAGTCAGACGTGATTGGTATTTATAGGAGAAGCTTATTTTATGAATAAGTCACTGTATGGCCTTCTACAATGAGCAATATAAAAGCTATTATAGGCCCCGAAATGAAAAAAAAAACGTAATACAATTCAGAGAAAACCAACGGCATGATCTATGTTTTTACAAAAGGAAAGAAAACCAATTTTGGTAAACAGCAATGAACGACAACCGCTGGATATAGGTACGACAAATTTATTTTTTTGGGGGGAGGGAGGTGTATTTTGAAAATAAATATCTTGGTACAAGACAGGATGAAAATGAATATTCCACAGCATAAAATGCAGGAAATTAATGTGTGAAAAAGTGGAAATAAATTTTCGCGCGTCAAACAAGCGGGGAAAAATAAGCACGTGCAGCAACAGATGGTTATTTTCTTAACAAATAATGATTACTGAAACATCTATTATACCAAAGGAACGAATTTGCCGAATTTTATGTATGATTGTTCTGATGTGATTAAAATTGTCCCCCTTCGCCTAGTGTAAGGGGAAAATTCAAACATACGAGATATCGTACATGTATACATTAATAAAAATAGTCCAAACAAATGGCTCAAAATAATAATGATTAACCGACAGTTTTTTTTTCTAAAGTTCATGGGCCGTTTGTCGGATCGCTCTTAGGACTAGGACGTCTCCTTAGATCACCTAATAACATATATGTGTCCTAAGTGGGTTTATAAAACATGTCGTTACTTAAAGTCATATGAATCGTCCTAAGTTTATGACACCTATTTATGCGTCTCAAGATGGTCATATAAATGACAATGATTATGGTTAATTCATGAACAAATACGACAGCCACCTATATATGTTTGTTCAAGGAGCAGTAACAAATATTTTTTTTGTAAAAATAAACGGTATAAGGACTATAT